TCTTTGGTAGGGGATTTTAATAGGGGTCTATTGCACCTGTGCCTGTGTCATAAAATTCAGGGGAGGTGATTGCAATTATCAAATTTCATGAAAGGTTTTAGCAAAGATCAAAAACTTTAGGAAAGGTTTTAGCAATTTACAGATCGACCGATCGTAAGAGAGTCCTGCCACCATGGATACAAAAGATGTTAAGTTTTCTCACCCCTTTCAATACAAGTAATAGTCTCAATGGATGACAAGAGGTGTAAATCGGGTTGTGCCGCCCGTGGCTCGGCACGAACTTGGACCAATCTGGCACAATCATGCGAGCTGTGATGGGCCTGGAGTTTTAGATCCACGGGCCAGCACGGCCCAGCCCGCAGACCGGCCCAGCACGGCCCGACATAGCCCATATATATTATTTATATATATATATTTGTATAATATTATATAAATTATAATTATATAATAATATATAGTATATAATATATTAATAAAATAAATAAATTTTAAAATTTTATTATACTAATTTATTTAATTATTGTATATATAAGCAATTGTATACACAAAATTCATATAAAATTAAAATTTTAAGTTTTTTGTTATTTTTTTAAATAAATAGCTTTGACCCGATACACGGCCCAACTTGGCCCGAGGCTCAGCCCATAAGTCAACCCAGCCCGTGGCACGACACAGCACGGGCCCACAGGCCAACATGGCCCACTTTACACCTCTATGGATGACATTGACGAAATCAATTGGCACCAAAACTTTATAAAGTTTGCAACAATATTGGATTATTGTCATACACTCATATTTGGATAGAAGGCAACATAGTTTAGGTTAATGGGTCATGGGTTTATGTTTAATTGTTCAACTAGTAGGGACCCGTGCGATGCACGGGAAAATCTAAAAGATTTAACAATTTTATTTTTCATTTAATGTTGATTTATAAAAATAATTATTGTTAATTGAATATGAACATATATTTTTTAATAAATTTAGTTTTATTAATAATTTTAATAATTTTTATTCTTTTTATTATTTTTAAATGAAAATTTGGTTAACTTTAAATAAATAAAAATAATTATAAAAGCTAACATTTTTATTAATTCTACCAATAATTAACAATTATATAGGAATGACAATGGGGTGGGTTCAAAGCAAGGCACCCCATCCCTTTCCCTGCCCCATAGTCAAGACACTTTACCCCATCCTCGCCCCGTCTCTAGTGTCATGCGGGTTCAGGGCAAAGTAACCACTCCTCAATGTCGAGCGAGTTCAGGGACAAGGCACCCCACTCCTCATCAAGGATGGAGAATCCTTGAATTTCCCTGCCTCGTCCCTAGTATTGGGCGGGTTCAAGTTGAGGTGTAAATTGGGTTGGCACGACACGACCCGCATGTGGCCCGCACAAAGTGCAAGTCATGCCATGCTGGCCCACGAGGCGTCCCGGGCCATGCCTCCCTCCTCTAGGATAATTTGGAGGGTCGGTTTGGCACAGCCCACGGCCCGAGCCGTGCCGTGGGTTAGGCTGGTCCATGGGCCTTGGGCCAGGCCATGCCACACACCAAGCCAAGCTCAAGGCAAGGCACCCGCTCCCCGTCCAAGGTTTTTAAAATTGGACCGGATAGGGAACCGTTCTAGGGTTGAACGGTCCGACTGTTCGGTCTGAACAAATGACCCGCTTTGACAAAAAAAAATAGAAAAACAAAAAAAGGACAAAAACTGTTGTCCAGGTTGACAGTTTGACCGCCCAAGTCAACAGTTCGCTAACCAAATAAATAGTTTTTGGACAAAAAGCGGTTTTGAGGTGAAACGGTGTTCGATTCCCAATTTTTTCAGTCTAACCATCTGGTTTGATATAGTTTTGAAAATACTGTCATCGTCAACCCAATATTCAATTTGATGATAGAAATGATATATTGAGTATCAACCACATGGTAAATTTCTATTATTGTTAATTGAAAGATTTAATAAATTTCCATTCATTCAGACCTCAATTCCCATCCCCGACCCCGACCTCGATCGAGGATTCCTATTAATCCTCGTCCCCGCCCTCGCCTCGCCAAAACAATCCCCATCCCCAACTCCTTTGGGTCAGGGAAGTCAGGTACCCATCGGGGATGGGGAAATTGTCATCCCTAAAAGTGTGTTCTAATAAATGACCCTAATAGAAACACATAAGAGTATACAATTATTTTATATTTTTTACTTTTTAAATAATTAATAATTATTCATATTTTATATACTATTTTTAATAATTTTTTTATAATACAAAAATAGCAATAATTAATTTCAATTAGGTTTATTTATCAAACTAATGAAACCAACCAACCCAATTAACTCGACCCAAGTTGGTCAGTTTTCTAGTATTTTAGGTTGGCTTTGGTTCAAAATTTCCCAATTCGACCAAGTTGGATCAGTTCCACTTTAGCCATTTGTAAGCCGACCAAAATCGAACGACCTAACCATGGATATATATTAATATTTTATACTTTAAATATAATTTTTAATATGAAAAAGTGGGAATTTTCTCATATTTCTTAGTCTAAAATGTTTTATATCATAAATGTAATTTTTAAGTTTATTATTTAATAATCACATTGTAATTTTTAAAATTAAATTAAATTTTTAAGTTTAAATCTTTTGAACAAACTGACCAAACAAAAAAATCAACCCAAACCAATACAACTTGAGTGGGTCGGTTTTCACAAAAGGTTAGTCAGTTTCAGCTAACCAACTCCCTAGCCTGACCAGGTCAATTTGGTTGACCAAATAGCCTATGACCGCACTGAACCAACTCATGAACACTCATAATTTCAGCTAAATTAATAGTCTTATCTCTAATAATTATTGAAAATTTATAACAAAAATACACAATTATTGAAAGTATATATATAATGAAAACTACAATAATTACAAAAATACAATAAGTACTAAAAATATATTAACTTAGTCAATAAATAGTATAATCTTAAATAATAGTTTAATCTCTACTAAATATTAATCAATAACTTATAACATAAACACAATGAATACAATAAGTACAATAAATTAAATTTAAAAATTTCAACAACAGTAATTTAATCTCCAATAATTATTGAAAAAATTTTATTAAATAACTAAACAAAATAAACTTATACATACTTATTGAAAATACATTTATCACAAAAGAAAATAAATCTTAATTTTAGTACATATAATAATATAATAAATATAGATTAAGAGTTTAAAATTATTATTAATAAATATTATTTTTTTGAAAGTTATTTTCTCGACTTATTACTTGATATAAGTGAAATTAATTATTTACAATATTATGTAAAAATATTAAATTATTATTAATTTCAATATTATGTTATAATTATTTTTCTACTTTTTAGATTTTTTTTAAATTTATTACATAACTTATTTATTTTAACTATTTAAAATCTAGTTATGTTAAATATTTTGTTATTTAAATACTTAAAATATTAATTGTTTATTGAATTTAATTATCCATAAAATCATAATTTATACTATGATTACATAATTTCATTATTAAATTTGTAATATATTAAATTATTATTAATTTAACTATTATGTTATAATTATTTTTCTACTTGAAAAAAAAATTTAAACTTATTACATAATTTCGTTATTTTAACTATTTAAAATCTAGTTATGATAAATATTTCGTTATTTAAATATTTAAATAATCTATAAAATATTTAAACTTTTTTTGTTATTTGAATTTTATTTATTTAAAGCTATTACATATTATTAAATATTTAAAAAACATTTAAATTGATAATTTAGAAAAACATAATTTAAATTATTATTACATAATTTTGTGATATATTTTGTAAAATATTTTAAAGTTATTTTATAATTTTGTTAGAATATTTAAATGATTCTTAATTTTTTTAATCCAAACTTTCTTTAGATAGATATAGATAAAAGTAGGGGAGAGGATAAATAGGAATTAGAGATAATTTAGGAGAGAAACTCTCTACTAAATTAGAGATAATTTTGGAGATAAATAAGAATTAGAGATAATTTAGAAGATAAATACGAATTAGAGATAATTTTGGAGAAAGTGGGGGATAATGGAGGAGGTAGTTTAAGAGTAATTTTAGGAGAAGAGATTATTTAGGTTATTGAGAAAGTGTTTCTCATTGGTTGTTTGAAAAATGACATGGAATTAAAAAAATAAAAAAATAAAAAAAGGAGAATAGATAAATAGCTTCTCTCAAAGGAAAGACATGCTGACATGGCAGGACCAGTTTATATATATATATATATTTATATAGATTTGACCTTTTGACTATTTAAATAAAATATAATAAATAATACATAATTTCAGATCATTTTTTATAGTTATTTTACAAAAAAATAAGCTGAAAATAGTGAATATCCTGGGATACAAGTATACACACAGGTCATACACCGTGTCAAAAACTGTTCTGGGCACTGTTTCCCTCTGAATGGCCCAGTCATCAAGTCCAATCTAGCTTAAAATATTAATATTAACAAGGCATTTTTAAGAACATATCACGATATGCTTCGGATGTGAGTGGATATGTTAGAGCCTAAAGGGAACTCACAAGAATCCTTCATATGCATCAATGACGTTTTAAGGCTCTTTTTTTTTTGTAACTAAATACTATTATAAATAAGGTTCAAACACATATAGCAAGAAATTTAGAACTGAAATATGCATGTATATTCTAGAAAACCAAATAAATCTTATTAAAATTTAAAAGTAGTCATTTTAATGGTTAATTTAAAACCATTAAGTCAGAAGTTAATGGTAGTAATTCTGGAAAACCAAATATGCATATAAGTCAGAAGTCACAATTTAAAACCATTGTTGTTTTGATATGTTCCTGTAAATAGTGTAGTGGTAGACTCTTACCTGTCAAGTAGGAACCCTGATTCAAATCCTTGCAGTTTCATATATTTTTCATCCTTTAAAACCATTGTTGTTTTGATATGTCAAGTATTCCATGGATATTTGAAACCTGAAGTTCTGGACATGAGCTAAGAGCCTGTTGCAAGGCAAACATCTAGTCATTGACCATTCTCGGAATAATCCATTGTACAATTTGCAGCAAAATGTGATAACAACCTCTTCATCTTACAATTTACAAGCAAACCGTGATAACTCTTCATTACCACCCACCCAACCTATTTGATATGTGCCCCACATTTCTCCGGATCATTGTCTTCCTTGTCACTCATGGACTAGCAGGCTCCATATCTTCATCTTCAAGATCCTCATCTCTAATTTCATACTTTAAATTATCCAAGTCATTGAACTCACCTGAGCCATGAAATGTTTTCAACTGCATATCTGGAGGTTTGTTAGATGGGCAAACAACACCTTTAGCACACCTGTAATCATGTTCTGTCTCAAAGAGCATATAAATTGCAAGCTCAAGATCATCACAGGTTGATTTTTTCGACTTGGAGTCAGCTTAGGCAATGATCTCTCATTTATTCCAAGTGCTCATTTCCATTCTTCAAATCCTGTCCTATACAACCAATTTTCAAATTCTAATAAAAAACTATATAGCTTTTATTGCTTGACACACAACTTGAAAATGTAATGCGAATATCAAAGCAAATCAATATAGTACAATAACTACTTGAAATAGAGCTCAAGAAGCTTTTTAATAGTGTCAAATATGCTTGTAAAGGGGTTTAGTTCAATGGGGGCCTTTAACCCTAGATCAGGAAACTGGTTTGTTAGGGCCTGCTGCATTCCAGACATAGACATCATTGCAGCTAACTGGCTGTTAGACATCACTTGGCAGTCCTGTGGTGTGTCCTTGATCTTGTTTGCATCATATCCATAGTTGGCCAAGTAATCTTTGTATTTCTCTATAAATTCAGGTCCAGGGTCAGGGGTCCTTGAGTAAATCTAAAACAACAAAAGCAATGATGGATGATTAGAATGTTACATTATTTCAGACGTATGAAATCAGACAACACAGCTGATTGTAACATCTGGTTAAAATACTTGATTGGACATTGGGCAAGAAAAACTATGATTATCCTTGGTTAGATTGATCCTTGTCCAATGCATTTGGTTGGAATCAACAATGTTCTCCCTTGGATAAGTAAACAAATATGAGAAACAGTAAGAAGTGGGTGAAAAATGCAATGTTGCAAAGGTTTGGACCATCCAACCAGTGATCTATTTCATAATTTTCTGATGTGTCCATTACCTGAATGAAGCTTCTGTCTTTTGCACCAGAGACTAGAGAAAAGTTAACATAATCAGTTGCAATCACATCATAGGGCTCCTTTGGAATAAATGGCAGTGTAGGAAAGCGGAGGTAACACTTCTCTCTAATCATCTCCTGCCTTTCTAGATCAGTTTCAGCTTTCTCCATGTCTTCCTCGGAAAGGCATTGAACCTTTCCTCGTATACCAGTAATATAACCATCAGGGCCACCGTGAACACAGAAGGTGTCAACCTGGATAGAGGGGGCCTGAGGATCAAATGTATATATTCCCTGCAAATATTGGAAGTCAGGAATTCACAGTATATAGCCTCTCGCATTCTTCCAAAAGCACTGATAAATGAGAGAGAGAGAGAGAGCATTTCAGTCAGCAGAAAACAGATTCATGCTCAAATGGTTGGCCACGTACCAGCCAAGAAGAGAAAACTTGAGTTACTAGAAAGAAAAGGTTGAATCTAAAAATGGAGAAGATGATGTAGGACAGCTAGGAAACTAGGATTGTGTTCTGCACTCTAGGCAATCATGCATCCAAGTGATCCTTCTGATTCAATAACTGGGATTGATTTAAAAGATGGTTCATGTCTATGCATGTAATTCTAAGGAATTAGAACCTTTTTTGTTTCCTGCACCCATGACATTTTGGTTTCTGAGAAAGTTACTGAAAAAGGGAAAGTTGTCCTAGGGATTTTTCTCTAACTCTAGGCAATTATGTATCTAATTGATCTTTCTGATTCAACAATTAGGACTGCTTGAAAGATGGTTCATGTCTATGTATGTAATTCTATGGAATTAGAACCTTGACATTTTCCCAGACATGCATACCATTAGGCTACATTTGATTCTGAGAAAATAATTGAAAATGGGAAAGTTGTGAGAGAAACTTTCCCTTTTTCAATAGCTTTATCAGAAACCAATTAGCCTTAGTGCAACAAAATAAATTTTACCTGTGTACAGTGACAGTCTTCCTGTCCTTGTCCAGCAAATCCACGTTTAAGTGATGCTACTTCAAACCATCTTCCAGAATATCTGACTGGGTCAAAATTCTTAGCTGTCATTCCCCTCATAACCATTAGTTTCTCACTTCTTTCATCAGACCCTTCATCAAGTTGCAGAGTTGGAACATTATCAGCTGTAGATGCCAGTTGGCACAGGTTAGAGTAATGAGACGGATTTGCTGCAACAACCTGACGAAGAAAAATGATATTGTTCTTAAATGGAGGTAAATTTCTTAGGCTTAGAATGAAATTCTTTGTTCTGCGCAATCTAAATTGTCAGTTTGTTCATATTTCTAGAGTCTATTTTTTGGTTTCCACAATAAGGTCAGATGGCACTTCATCTTTACTGTTGAGAGAAAAATGGGAAATAGTTCACATAAACATTGAATTGTCTAATGTTAAGATCATCTAATTGGACTCCCCCTCCCCAAGAAGAATAAGTAAATGAAGCCCATCGAGAGACAGGTTAAGTGTGTCTCTATATCACAACGCATTGCTATATGGTCCTTTCAATTTAGTGATAGTGATCATTCCTCTTAAAACTCCATAAATTGAATATGTCTTTTCATATTAATGGGACTAAAAATCAGGCAGACATAAAAATTATCTGATATTCTACCCAAAAGCATATTAAGAAAACTAAAGTAATATTACCTGGTCTGCTCGAGAGAGAAGTATGAATGCAGCAGCAACACCAGGTAAAATATGTCTGACAACATATTTGCTGCTTAATGTAGGATGTTCTAAAGAACATTTTACCATTTTCTTTCCTGGCATCTCCCTAAGGTAGCATAGGGGCACAAAAGAAAAAAGATAAAAAAACTTGTAAGACTAAATAAAAACAGCATTTAATTCACAATCAATGTCAGAAACTTAAGCAGACAACATGAATTCCCAAGTTTGGCATTGAAGGAACTTTTTGTTCAGTTTTAGGCAATATTTCATACTAACTATTCAACATATTGATAGGTAAAAAATAGAAAAGAGAAGAAATGAACTTAGAATATCAATGCAATTTCAAACAAACATAACATTTCAATTGAAAAGCATCACTTGCTATTTCAAACTATGTACAAGGACAATCCATTCTCTAAAAATATGAACTTACCAGATTCCATCATGTTCTAGTGTCAGGCACATGCCAACAGTTTTGTCTAGACAAACGCCTCATAACTCATATGCTATATATCTCTAGTTCCCAACTATTTTTTTCATATATTATACTACACACCACCAGGATGAAATAAAATTATGTCAGAAACATAAATTACATTAGTGCTGGCACCTGGTCATATGGGGAGCATTGGCTCATCCAATGGGTAGATAAACTGCTGGCATGAATTACATTAGTGGTTTGAGCCTCATACATCAAATAAGAATAAACTTTTTTTTTTTATGAATGATAATAAATTTATTAATTCAGAAGCAGATTTAGAGTGAATTCATACAACATCCCAGGGAGAGGCGCGAGCTGCAGCCCCTCCTTGAATCTTACAAGTAAACTAGGAAAGAAAAGCAAGAATCACAACTGA